AAAATAACCATTAGAGACAATTAGGACAAGGAATGGTGAATTAAGACCAGAAAAGAATTGAGGCGATTGTAAGGAAGGATTTCTGTTATTGGGTCGGATGCAGCATTTCTTTTATTTATGTATTTGTGTTCATCCATGTTTAGGATGCATACTTGTTCTCTATTTAAACGTTTTATTCTGGTTGGTAAGTATAGAACATATACAGGTCTATATATCACATCCAGCAAAATGTATATTTGTGATTTTTCAATGAATAGTACGTATATCTTGTCTCTTTCATGAAAAACGTCTCATAAAAAAAACATTTCACTGGTTGTACTAGATGAACCTGTATACGATGCGTACTAACTAGCTGACTCATTCATAAATTCCTGACACACTCTTATGTTATATTACAGATCAGAAATGGAGCGGGCCAGGTAGAAATGGGTAACAGGCAATTCGTTAACTTCTTTGACGGATATGCAAAACTTAATAGCTGGAAGTTTCCGGGCAACGGATCTGCATTCTTTTCCACAAAATTTATCCAATCTAAGGTTTATACCGAGTCCCTTGCTAAGAATGACATAGCACCCTTCCTCACTTTTGAAGGCGTCTCTCCACCGTTCGGGGATGTTGAGCGATATGAGTCGTTCTTACTCAACATGGATAACACTGTCGTGAACGTATTCAATTACTCCAACAAAATCGTAGCCATGAATGACATCTGGAAGGTGTATGAAATTAACCCACATACACTGGACACCATAGGCGTTGTAAATCCACCAACACCACCGTCCAAGTTCTCTAACTTGGCCCGACTGAATGTGATGTCCACTGCTCATCCTGTGGCAGAGCATGGCACGGGTGCCAATTTTGACATCCTGAATACCTTCAGTCTGATACCCGGTACAAAGGAAAGGTTGTCAGTTGTTCGAGTCACTTCTCTCGAAGGACGCGAGCTCGTCGCCGAATGGGAAATTGACCAAACATCGTACATGCACTCGTTTTCTGTCACGCCGAATTACGTCATTCTGCTCGCTGCTCCGTATTAC